AAACACACTGCATCACCTACACAAACTGGTATCCCTATACACTACATACCATAAGCACACATATTAGATCCTCTACAATAACACATAACACATCCCCTACACACTCCACTCCCTGTGAGCGAACTCATGGGTGAGTGGAACATATAAGTGGACTTATGAGTGGGCCCTGGGGACCAGACCTTGAGCTGTGTAAGGGGCCCCAAAAAAATGGAGCTGCTTCCAATTCTCCCAGAACATTGAATTTTGTGACCACAGTTGCAAACAGCCTCCAGAGATCCTGTTCTACACCAGACCAGTGGAGCCAAACTGCAGCCCATCATCATCTTCATCTGGTTGTAAGTAGGCAATCTAGTGTATTATTAGTGACACTAATCTATAATTTACCTCACATTAAAGGGACACTATAGTCCCCAGAACCACTTCAGCTTAAAAAAGTGGTTCTGGTGTCTATAGCCGGTCCCTGCAGGCTTTTTAATGTAAACACACACTGTGGGCAGCACTGGCGTTAGTTCATATGGCAGATCATATGGGTGGGGCATTGTGATGTCACATGGGGGCGGCAATTTCAGCTGTAATTAATATTGGGGGATTTCTAAGTAGTAACATCAGTGTGTGTCAGCAGGGCCAGCCATTGGGGTGTGCACGCTGTGCGGTCACGCAGGGTGCCAGGCCAACACAGCTCACAAGTTGGGTACACCAGCATATTCAATTTAAACGATTCGCAGGTGGTCCACTGGTGCACACCAGCAGTAGGTGCAGTCAGATTATATCCTCTCCCTCGTGGTTCCGGCGCTCAGTTAGTGAGTTGGAGCACAGGCTCAGAGATTCTCAGCCTGCGCTCTGACAACATTGAAAGTCAGTGCTGTGAAGGAGCGGGTATGGCAAAGAGCTACTGATTAGCATAACATCAATATCCGTTATAAAACCAGGAAAAGGTGGGCATGGATGGTGAGCTGATTAGGTGGTGCAATGTGCCACTTGACTGGTTTTGCCCCCCAGGCTTAAGGCTGCCAGCCCTCCCATGACTGAGGTAGAATAACAGGACCTGTTTTCTGATTGATTGCACACTCTTTACACATAACACTTCAGTAAGTGTTAGTTTAAGGCTATGTTTCCTTTTTTTCTTTAACTGAGGGGTTTATACAATAAATCAAGAATTGAGGGAACAAAGGAGGTCAGTTCAATCCTTACCAGTTGTGAGGCTTTGGCAAGAATATTTGTCAGGAACTGCACCAACCACACCATCATTCACAAAAGCACATACATGTAATTAGCCAGATACACATATACATAATTAGCCACTCACCCACATACAATAACTTTCCACATATCCCAACCTAATTAGCAACATCTTTATACACATAAACACATACACTGATATGTAATCATAAGCATTCACAATTAAATGAAAAACATACCCTGATCAGACACAACATTAAAACTACCGTTCCATCACACCCCACAGATGCACAATCTGATTGACTTCTGGGGAATTTGGAGGCCAAGGCAACACCTTGAAATCTTTGTCATGTTCCTCACACCATTCCTGGACTATTTTTGCAAGGGGACAGGATACATTATTGTGCTGAAAGAGGACACTGCAATCGGGGAACACCATTGCCATCAAGGCGTGTACGTGGTCTGCAACAATATCTAGGTAAGTGGTAAGTGAAAAAGGAACATCCACATGAATGCCAGGACCCAAGCAGAACATTGCCCAGAGCATATCACTGCCTCCAGCAGCCTGCCTTCTGCCCATAGTGCATCCTGCTGCCATCTCTTCCATTAACCTGATCTAAAAAAAAATTAGATTCATCAGACCAGGCAACCTTCTTCCATTGCTCCATTGCCCAGTTCCGATGCTCATGTCCCCATTAAAGGAGCTTTTGTTGGTGGACAGGGGTCATCTTGTACATGTATAAGGAGAAATACATTTTGTCGGAATTTGGTCACAGTATTCGGAGCTATTATAAATATATGGATGACCTGCTCTTTGTGTGTAAGGACACATTTGAGGCAGCACAAAATATTGTGACCAACACTGAGGTTTGTGGGTATAGACCAAATACGTGTACCAAGGAGAGGGGGGTGACCGAGGCAAAATGGTCCTGAACAAGGAGGCATATTGGATTTATGAGTTAGACACGGTATCCCTGAAGGGACTGAACGAGACATTATTTTGCCATTCCTTTCTGTGATTGAAAGATTTCCTCTAGCCTGCATTTGATTTGAATTTGTGTTACTAATAGCGTGTCTTTTTTTAGCTATTACATATAATTTTTACATTAGATAGTTGCGTATTTACAAAGATTTAAGGGATATTGCTAATCTGATTTTAGCAAATCAAACTAAAGCAATTTAAATAGTTCAGCACAACAAATGCTTCAAGTGGTTTCCCAACCTGTCTGTCTGAGTGCTGCCGCTGGTTACCATGGCCATGCTCTGATGTTGCACAATGCCAGGTCTTGCAAGAGGAGCCTGTTCCCAGCATAGGTACATTGAGGGGGAAAAGTATTTGATCCCCTGCTGATTTTGAATGTTTGTCCACTGTCAAAGAAATTATCAGTATAATTTTAAAGTTATGTGTATTTTAACAGTGAGAGACAGAATAACAAAAATACAAATCCAGAAAAACGCCTGTCAAAAAAGTTATAAATTGGTTTGCATGTCAATGAGTGAAATAAGTATTTGACCCCTTTCGACGTTTGAAATTGTCCAGGCACTGCTGGGCACCCCTCTGAGGCTCCCTGAAGTTTGCTGCAGCAGTGTACCGACCCGTTTGATTCATGGCCTATCTGGGGTCTGGCTGGGAGTTGTGGCCAACCTCCTCGGCGGGACTCTGCAGGCTGCGCTGTGGCCACGCCCTGTGTCCCCCACCCTTTGGACCGGCGGGGGTTATCCCGGTGCCCACCACTTCGGCTCTGGGTACCTACCACATAGTCTGGGCAGTTTTGCCGCTTGAGGCAGTCTCCTTGCACTCTTGGCTACTACTGGGAAAGCGGCTCCCTCGTGGTCCTCATAAAATAGCGAACAGGGCGGTAGAGCACATCAGCCAGACTAGGGGAAGCATTTAAAGCCATCAGCTGGCAGTTCTGGAATAGCCTTCGGCCCAGAGAGAGAGAAATCTACAAAGCCTGCTCCGGGGGCATAGCTTAAAGGCAGAGCTGGGAACTCTGCTTGGACGCTGGGTGCCTGATTTGAGTGAGCTACACTATCGGGCTATCTACTGTCTGGCTATCTACTGTCTTTCATAGGCTCTCCTTTCCTATGCTCTTTCGGCTAACACATCTGTCATGACGGGCTGTTTGTGTTTGGATGCTGAGCATCTTGGTGGTTCTATTTTTCATTTGTGGCACATGTACAGTCAGTAAATTACTCTATAAATCTCATGAATCGTCTGTTCCTGACCTGACTCACGTTAATTTCACCTGTCCTATTAAGATAAAATGTGCAGTATCATATGACATTTATGCTACCATCGTAACCTTTTGTGACGGACCACCTAGCACCCCGACCAGGTGCCTCCGTCAGTCGATGCTCCAGGATTCCAAGCACTCCACCAAACACCATCAGCACTGTAGTGCCCACGTCCAGCGTTACAGCTTGGCTGGGAACTTGCCATCCTCCACCCACCCTGGATCCAAGACCAGGATCCAGCTTCCAGTGGGTGAACCTCTCCTACTCCAGAGAGCTTGGCAGGAACAGCTCTTAAAAGAGCTAGTGATCATAATCCCAGGGGAGTATAGTGATATGGCAATCCCCACTGTAGATACAGCGTTTCCCCCACACATGAGATGAGACTCTATGTTGAGGGTAAGCAAGAACTCAATTTTAATGGAGCCACACTGACCTTTTATGCAAGTTTCCCAACAAGGATGACACCCACGTGGACCTTGTTGGGCACAGGGACACAAGTTAACAAACCAATAGAAACAACGTTATACAGTGAGACACTCCCATACAGTATACACAATCCCTCCCCTCTGTCTGGGAGATAATTAAGACAGATAATGCATTAAATTATCTCCAGGTGGGGGGCGAAGCCGAGCTAGCAACTGGATTAGACGCACTCATCATGTGCTCCCACAGTTAGAGCCCTAATGCAGCAGATAACTTTGGATATAACGATGCAACTTCCTACAAACCGGCCCACGGGAACGGGGGAAGCAGTCGAACATGCCGTCACCACAGTTGACACCCGGCGCGACCGGGACCCGCAGCTGCAGATTGAGGTCTACTGGCGAAGGCATGGGGGAAGGACGGCCGCCTTCCCACCAAATGCTAAAAGCCGCAAACGAGCACAAACCGCTCACCCCCCCATGGACCGGTGGGGGATATCCTGGTCCCCGCCAGGCGGAGAGCCCAGGGCCCCACACCGAACGACAGGCTCAGCAACTCTAAGCAATAAGGAGCCGCGGGCCTCCAAGATGGCGGACTCTCTGGTCCTGACAGTGCCAGATAAAAGACAGCGTCATGGTGAAGAAGCAGGCACAGGGAAATATGCAAGAGACTCTCACAGCAATATTTGACCGATTCTGGGCCAGACTGCAGGCGCACTTCTACCCTGAGGTGCCTCACCACCCACAGCCCAAATGAGACAGAGCCAACGGTAGTCAGGTAATTGGGAACCCTCCTCAAGGCAAATCTAAGCCCCACGCTACAGGCCCCAGCATCCATGGCCCTCCCGGACAAAGGGCAGCAGGGGACACACCCCAGAGGTGCCAGCCACACCGGCGGAGAACATTGAAGCGACTCCTCACACAGAATGGGAAGACTCTCCGCTCCACCCTGAAAGGGTCGACCCTGGACTACAACGGTTCCCAGGCTCATGGCCTACGAGCACCGACCCCCATACAGTTCCGGGGCAGGAGAGAAAACCCACCTACGAGACACCACGGCTCTACTCTCAGGGTGAACCACAAAAATGGAAACAAACAGATGACAAGCGATCGTCGGGCAGGCGGCGACACGGCTGTACTCCAGGAACGAGCTGGGCGAAGGTACTCCGCTTCACACCGCACCTGCCTGGTCGCCCAACTCCACGGACGGCACCTACAGGGGAGCACTGGTCAGACAGCGCTGCTAATGGGGGTGCTGGACTTGACTGGGGACCGGTACTTGTCACAGAACAGCAGGAGAACACGTGGAGACACCACACTGGGCCAAAGAATGGACTATAAAGCAAAGCACACCAGTGGCATCGGGTGAAGGGTTGCGATTACCTTCGTTCCAGCTGCCAGCCTGGTCTAGATGCAGGAATTGATGCATACCAATTCTGCCATAAGCTGATGGTAGCCTATTGGTACAAACGTTTTATTTTGAGCTACTCTAAGTTGCCAGTTTCAGAAGCCAGCGGCCATACATACATGTATACCCTGGTACTGCCCTTTACTCAGTCTTAAAATTGCCTTCCCATTACATTCAAATGACCAAGCTTGCAATGCGCTCACAGTTCCCTTTATATCACTCCCCTAATTACACACACTTTAATACAAGCAAACCTGTCCGAACTTATAATCAGCCTGACACAAATGTACTGCTGTATGCACCTTTAGCCACCAATGTTACCCTGCTACGTGATGCTCATTACCTATGTATCACACTATTAAGTACAATCTTGAGCCAGTAAACACCACACTGTACTGTCGGGATACAACAGAACCCACTACGCAAAGCCAAGACTAATCATTATTTGTACCCATATCATTAAGTTTCCACATGATCATCATCTTAACTACTAAAAATGTGCACGTACTCTTGTATACCCCACTGCTATATTTGTTGAAAATCAACGTGAGGAATGCCGTTAGGGTACCTCACGCTTGTTGTTATATTTTTTTATGCACAGCAAAAAAATAAAATTAAAAAAAATAAAATTAAAAATTATCTCCCGACAAAAAACAACAACATATTTTTCCAAACTCCAAAAGTACCCCCAAAACACATAAAATCCCCATAAAAGTTATATCCCTGACTTGGGTGAACAGCATATTCAAAAATCACCCAGATCAAACCAGGTATTCAGGAAATTCCTAGAAGTCTCTTTTTGACCGACCGCACGGATGGTTTCATGCCCAAAACAGTTCCAGAGAATCAGGCTGTGCGGCTGGTCTATTTCAAATAGTCTAAATACCGTTCTAATTACCGACGACAAAACACAGCTGAACATGTTCGACTAAACAGGATGGGCGCTGCCACGTGTTTCGAATGTTGAATGGCGGCCACTTCGACTGTTCTGGAGTTCGAAGTGTTATGGTTCCACTCCAAAAGGGGCACAAACAGTATCTTTAACCCACAGTTCACCACAAGGGCCATAGTCACAGAGCAGGAGGCCCCTCCAAAAACCAGTGGCGAGGTCACTTTAGCCACACCTTGTTTTATATGCCTATGCCAAAAAAAAAAATGTCTATGCAAGCTGTGTATGCCAATAATCCTGTTTATTTCCCTATTTATATATATATTAAAAAAATGCAATGTCTTTAATGCAATGTGAATACATATGAATGCTAATCTATTTGTGCCAGCTGGCAGTGCAAATTACTTGTTCAATCTTTCCATGAACAAAATAAAGAATAAAAAAATAATTTTAAAAAATGGGTAAATGGGTGCATGTTGTATTCCAAAAAAATAATGTACCGTATATACTCGAGTATAAATCGACCCGAATTAAGTCGAGACCCCTAATTTTACCCCAAAAAACTGGGAAAACTTATTGACTCGAGTATAAGTATAAGTATAAGTATAGGGTGGGAAATGCAGCAGCTACTGGTAAATTTCTAAATAATATTATATCCCCAAAAAATTATATTAATTGAGTATTTATTTACAGTGTGTGTATATAATGAATGCAGTGTGTTTGTATGAATGCGGTGTGTGTGTATGAGTGCAGTGTGTGTGTGTTTGAGTGTAGTGTGTGTGTATGAATGCAGTGTGTGTGTGTGATGCAGAGCCTTGGTGGGGGTTGGGCATTTTTATAATTTTTTTAAATTATTATTATTATTTTAATATTTATTTTTATATATATATTATTAATATTTTATTATTATTTAAATTTGTATTTATTTATATATTTTTTTGTCCCCCCTCCCTGCTTGTTGGCTGGCCAGGGAGGGGGGGCTCTCATTCCCTGGTGGTCCAGTGGATGGGCTGTGTAGGAGGGGGGCTGGCAGAGAGCTGTAATTTACCTTTCCTGAAGCTCCTGTCAGCTCCCTTCTCTCTCCTCTGGTCCGGTCAGCTCCCCTGTCAGCTCCCACTGTAAGTCTCGCGGTCTGAGTGCCGCACGGAGTGTTGCCACGGTAACCCGTGGCAACACTCTGACCCCGCGGCTCTCGCAAGACTTACAGTGGAGCTGACCGGACCAGAGGAGAAAGAAGGGAGCTGACAGGAGCTGCAGGAAAGGTAAGTTACAGCTCGCTGCCAGCCCCCAACAGGACTGCCGGGCTTATAATGAGCCCGGCAGTCCTGGTCTGTATTATGGCAATGTAAGTTGCCATAATACAGACAGTGACTTGAGTATAAGACAAGTGGGGGGTTTTCAGCACAAAAAATGTGCTGAAAAACTCGTCTTATACTCGAGTATATACGGTATATATATATGTAGATTGTATTTTGGGTTTTTTACTGCTCCCCATTGTTACCCCCTACTGCTTACTTTTTTGACTTGATCTGTGAATTAAATGGTGCAAAAAGGCGCCTATAGTTGTACTGCAAAATATATACATCATGTTTATATCATATATATATCTTTCAGTCTACAAATACCCAAGACAATCGCATAGATAAAATTTGTCTGAACCGAAATTCCAGATGGGGGTATCCAGATTTGTCCAAAACATTTTTTTTCCAACAGACGATTTGGTTCAATCAAACCTTTTCACCATGCACACGTTAGACATTGTCTTTTTATCATAATGCATTTATTCGGGCATAGATTAGTTATGAAACTCACAGGTCATTATCTAGTGAGAAGTCTACCTTCAATAAATGCAATGTATAAATTCAGAGTTCTATTTTTTCATTTGATGAAAGTGATGAAAGTGATGATTAACAGTAACTGACCTTTAAGAGGGTTATTCCCCCAAGAACATATTTTTAGAACTTAAAGTGAATTTAATAAGAATTTCAAATATTTGAAAATAGTGGAACTAAAAACATAGTTGACTTGGAGAATTTTTCTACTCAGTTGTTGTGACGTAAAATGAAACTTTGAGTTCCTGACAATTTATCTAACAGGGTCATTTACTAAAGTGAGTCTTCAAAGTCAATTTCAAATTCAAGGTCAAACTAGCCGAACTGAAGAATTGTCTAAATCAGCTATGCTTTCAGATCAGCTACTCTGGCCTAAAAATTAAAATTCACATAGAATTCTCACTTTACTGAATAACTGTCAATATTAGAGAATATCCCTTTCACAGTTTTGACTTAACTTGGCCCAGTCAGATGGCTGAATACTCAGATCTATTTCTCCCTGTTTGTGGTTTGTCTGTCTCTCTCTGTGTATGCCATCTTCTTATACTTTAACTGTATTTTGGGTTCTGAAGAAATAAAATTGAGATTTAAAGACGTTTTATTTTGGTAAATATTTTCTGAGAAATTTGAGAAGCTCTCTGTCATCCTTGCTTAGGTTTTCTGGGGGACTGCTGTGTGGTTTCTGGACAATGCATTTTTGTGTTTTGAAGATTCTTTTGTTGTGGTCTGTTTTTCTCTTTCGATTTAAACTATTCCTATTCCAAACACTTATAGGGTACCTTCTACAGCAGCCTTATTGTTCTTGTGATCCTTCTTTGGTAGGAACTTTGACATTCAATATTATAATTCCTTCCAATTATGTTAGGCTTTGACTCGTTAATGACAATTAACATGGTGATTCACTTCGTCCAGGAGCTTGGAATTAGCCAATACATGAGACATTTAGGCATTGTTCCTTTTTTGTTTTTATTATTTTTATTGCATAATTCATACAATTCAATTATAACAGAATTATAAGATCAAACTGCAATTTTAAGTAACAAAATATTGAATATTCAGGAGACTAAGAACACATTTTTATCAAACCAAATAGTATAAATACTATTAATAAATATTAAGAATAGTTAAATAGAATAGTGAATTGTGGTTTTAAATAATACCAATGGCTAAAAATGCCACATTCATCTAAATTGCTGAGATTTCCAAAGGATTAACTACCTGCATAATGTCTGTATTAAGACAGCAGATAGTCAAATGACTAAAACCATAGTCATGAATAGCTTGTCTTATAAACTATTTAGCAAGTCAGTTGGGGCAATGTTCTTTGAACTCCTTTTCTCTCTGGCAATGTGTTGCATTAAGCTATCCAGGAGCTCCCATATGACTGAATACCATAGTATTGTTAGCTAGGAACACCTGCAGAGCACTACTTTGGATAGAAATAGTGGTGATGGCTCATTAATTTAACATTGTGTGGAGGATGCATGTGGTGTTGTTTGTTTATAGGGATGCTGCTTGTGGGTGGTTGTTGTGTTGCGTATGTGAGGGAGATGTTGCTTGTGTGGTTGCGGGTGTGGGGCTGAGACTATTATAGGGTGTTTCAGTGTAAGGCTTGTAGTGTGTTTGGAGGGCATAATGGCTGTAGAATGTTTTTGGGGGAAATTCTGGCTATTGGTTGTGATTGGGAGTTAGGGCTGTTGAGAGGGGGGACTTGGGTCTGTAGTGTATTTGTGCAGAGAGGAATAGGAGCTTTAGCATGTGTTTAGGAGAGACGGGGGCTGTAACAAGGGCTGCAATATGTGTTTAGGGGGAAGTGGCTGTGGTGTGTGTTTGGTGGAAGACAGGGGTGATAAGGGCTGGTATGTGTCAGGGGTCAGTGAAACCTTTTTAGGCATAATCTGCTGTAGGCATATTACCAAAAGTTTATTTTGATGAGTTGTGTACAAAAGCTTTCTGAGCCAGAGCTCCAAACATATAGTAAGGCATGGACCCATTTAGAAGATCACAGGTACTTTATTTGCACCGGGTCAAAAAATGGTTTACCTTTAGAATCCAGAACAGTGGAGTCAGATTTTTCTAAAGCAACAGAAAATTCTGGTTCCGCAGATATTTCCTAAAGAAAGATATTCAAATGATTCTGAAGTAACATGTATCAAGTAAGAGGTTTCTTCGTTAAGGCTTTACAAATCCAATTTTCCAAGGGAGCAAAAAT